AGTTGGAATTATACATATTTTAAGTTTTATATTTTTAGATAAAAAATAATAAATGACTGCATTCTTATTATAAAAAACCCACCTACTGACTATAACTTGCCATCTCAAAACACAGTTGTATTAGGTATTTACCATTTTCCCATGTAATTTAATATTCTGCTAAAATATGCTTTCCAGTCTCTGCATGGTATTTCAGTGTATTTTTACACACTTTCTCAAACTTTAGCCAATTCACTTTACTAGACAGTTAAGTTTTTTCCAATTGGGTTGGGATGAACAGCCCTTTAGTATTTTGTTGGTATAAGTTTGTAGAAGTAGAATGGTTGAATTAAAAAATACAAACGCTTTTGATGGAAAGGTTATACATTGCCTAATTATCCTTAGAAAATCATAGCATTTTTTAGGTCCACTGGTACTGTGTGACACTTCCCATTTTCCATTTTCCCATTTTCCTCTCTAAGTTTATAATTTTAAATGTCCAAATTACAAATTCATAATTGTGAATTTCAAAATTTTATGTTAAAATATATTTGTTCAGCTAGTAAATATTGGTTCAAATGTTCATTTCTTTCAGTACTAGTGAGACTGAATACTTTTCATATGTTTCAAATATGTAGTAACCATTTATATTTATTACTGTAAATGATATCTTCTGATGAGGAAACTGAGGTTCAGAGAGATTAAGTGACTTGTTCAGGAGACACAGCTTCTACAAAGCAGATTTTTTTTTTTTTTTCATATTCTAAAATGAAATAGAATTGCTCTTCAATTGCTCTTCAAACTGAACTTTGGGGGAAAGTTCTGTTGGATTCGAGAGTTCAAGAATATCTAACTAACATACAAGTCTATTCAGGCCAAATAACCTTTATAAAATATCGCTTGGAGTATTACTGTGGAGATTTAATGAATTATAGTTCTTTTACTCCTTAATTTTTAATCCCAAGAGAAATCCAAATCAAAACTGGAAGACAAAAAAGAGATTGCTTAAAAAAGGTATTGGAATATGCTGACAGCATCCTTCTTACTATCTATCAGTCATGAATCACTGCTGTAGACGCTAAAGGAGACTCTGGTACTCATGACCTCCTTCTCCCCATTATCACAGCATGAGGACGAAGCATCCAGCTGCATATGTTTTATGGTGGTAGAATGCAACCAGCATACTATTTTAAGAGATGTCCAGAAGCTGATGACTTACTTTTTGTTTCTGAATGCCCCTTTTCATTTCTATCCCAAGTAATACATAAGGCCAGGCTGTCACCCAGGCTGTCACCCACTGGCTTAACCTTGTGTGGCAATATCAAAGTCTCCTTTCTTTAATAACTAACAAGAGAGTCCATGAGTTAATAATTTAAGAGAGAGAGAGAAACAATAACAATAAAGGAAATGTCAGAGTTACTTAAATGGTAAAAAGAGAGAGAGGATGAAGAAGGGGGAGGAGGAGGGAGGGAGGGAGGAAAGGGGCAAACACACACTGGCAAAATGCAATGTAGTGAGAACTGGCCAAAGGTACATTTCAGAAGGATGAAAGAATTTGAGGGGCCAGGGAAAAGGGAAAGGGGAGATCTACTGGAGGGGTAAAATCCTAACATTTCTTTCCACTTGGCTTTAAGATCTTATCCCAGAAGAGTGGAGATTTTGTTTCAGGAGCTGAGTAGTTAAGATCCCCTCAGGTAGTTTACAAGAGAAATGCTTCTCCACTCCTGTCCAATTTGCAATTATTTGTGTCCATGACTAGCCCAGGCTAAGAAAGTAAAAAAGAATGGAAACTTGAGCACCAAGGGGTCTCCAATCTCCTCCCTCTCTGAAGTGATGCTTCCTATACCATTTCTAGTCTTAGGCAGAGAAACCAGGTAGAATTATTGAGTGCTTGTAGCAGCAATGGAGAGATGATTCAAGAGTTCAACCACTGCCCAATAAAACACATGCAATTTCCACTTGAGCACGGCACTGTAGGACACCAAAGCGTTTCCTGGAATTGGATGGAGGGATTCCTGAAGACCATGTGTAGGGTAAAATTCATGTAACTTAAGAGTAATTTTCCCATAACAATTCTGTATTTGTTTCTCATAGAAACAGTTGGTGGTTTAATGCAGAGTTTGTGCGCTTAGCTGAGCAAGACCACTGAGTTCAACCCTTGTTCCTTCTCTGACTAGTGGAGGGAACTTAAGCAAGTTACTTAACCTTCTTTTACCTCAAATTCCTCAGCTTTAAAATGAAAATAATGATAATATACAAGATCTCATTTAATTTTTCCAGCAGCTCCATGGGATATAATGGTCCCTACTTCATTGAACTGTCAGGAGGACCAAAGTAGTCAGTATGTATAAAGTGGTTAGGAGGGTGTCTGGCAAATGTTAAGTGCACTATGATTGTTTGCTTATTAATTATCTTTTATTACCAGCTAAAGTGGAATTGCCATTTAGTAAAGCATAAACACAGTTTATAATTCATCTGGCCTACATGCTTTGCACTTCTGAGATTCTTGACTTTTAATGCAGGAGATGGTAATTATTGCAAAATGAATGTATATGTTTGGACTCTATTCTCCTTTTTATATTACCCTATTTTTAGACTGCATTGTTCAAAGAAGCATAAAATGAGTATGTACTATGTGAGCTTTAGGTGTGAAAGTACAATAGATTTAGGGTCCCTGACAGTAACTTAAAGGAAATTACTATTGATCAATATACAAGGGTTCTTATGTGTGTGAAATGGCTCAAAGTATCTTCAGGACAGGCAGGGAACAAAGGAGGAAGTAAGAAAATGCATGCCTAGGTTGGCTCCAAGTAAAACTCATGATGACATTTGTTGTGTGCCAGGCACTGTTCTAAGTCTTTTACATATATTCTTGTATTCAATTCTTACAATACCCTCATGAAATAAATACTGTGAATGCCTCTATTTACACATGCAGAAACCAAGACAAAAAATTTGAGTATTAATAACTTGCCCAAGGACACCCAACTGGTAAATGGTGGTGCTGGGATTTAAACCTAAATATATCCTTACCCCCAAAACCCAGGTGTAACTGTCTTACTACACCTCAAAAAACTGCAGTGTACAAAGTTTGTCTTAGATTCAACTTTTTTCTCTCTTTAGGACCTGTTTATTCCTTAAATACGGCCCTATCTACAACTGTAATGTAATGGGCATGGATGTGCTTATGGTAAACACTTTGGAAAATACCGAAGGATAGAAATAAAACACATTCAGACATCATATTATCACCCAAAGATGAGCACTGTTAAAATTTTGTGTTTCCTTTTAGACTTTTTTCTAAGTACATGGCTTTGCTTTATGTTTGTTTTACATAGTTGTGATCACACTATATACACAATTTTAATCTTCTTGTTTTCCCTATTATGACATGCGCCATCCTATGCTCTTCGAAATTTCATAAACTTCCTTTATAGAGGCTGCATAATGTACAGCTGCATGGCAGTTCCATAAAATATTTACCATTCCTTTCATGCTGGACATCTGAGTATTTCTAGCCTTTTTACTGTAGGATGGAGATCTTTGTCCCCTCTTTCTTGATAGTTTCCCTTCTTCTGACATTTCTTCAGAACTTCCCCAGGCACACAACGACTTTGGTATCCCTCTATCTTTCCTTTCTCAAAATTTATTTTCTGGAAATGAGCTGATAAGCTCATTCATACTAAAGTGTACACGGTTCATAAAACTTACTTTCTCTTCCAGGACACTTCTGTCCATTTACCCAAAGGAAGAAAATTTTTAGTTGGGGAGATCCCCCAGTAGGAGGAGACTACAACAGCAAAAAGGTGCAGGGCCGCGGTAACCTAAGGAAAGCTGGCGAGAAGGCAAGGCTAGAGCTGCGGAGGCGGTGGTGTGGTTAAGAGGGGGAAACGTTTTGTATAAACTAGGGTGAAAAAACTGAGTGCAAGAGCGGAAGAGAACTGGAAAATTCACTCGGCGGCACTTACCTAGTTTCTCCAACTCTCCTGCTTTTGCCTTTCCAAAACATTTGGCCTGAGGGCTGGGCCCGCCCACCTTTTACTCAGCTCCGCTCGGCTGGGTTCTCAGTCTTAATTACTTTGCCAAGTCTCACAGCTCCGGGGCCTTGGGCGGCCACAGAGCCGGCCGCCAGGAGCGGAAGCGAAGTTCTAAGAGGGTCCATCCCAAGCCCTGGGTCCACAGACAGTCCTGCAGGACCTTCACCTCCCTGGACCCAAACAGGAGAGTTAATAATACCTCTGGGGGCCGCGGGTTAGAAACGTCGTGTGAAAGTTCACCAAGTCCCGTTCTGCCCCTAGCACTCTCTCTCTCCCTCCTCCTAGAGGCTTCAGGCTTTCTAGGCTGTTGGCAAGTCCGAGGAGCAAAGGGAACCCAAGACAGAACTCAGCTCCCCCCAACTCTCCCCACTCGGGTGCTGCACTGAAAGAGGGGGCGTGGGGGTGTGCAGGCTGAAGTTCAAGCCAAAGGGGCCACTGACTCCGCCCCTCCGCCCCGCAAGGATTAGGGAGCCGAGGAAACCGTAAATCCGAAAACCTGGCCTAACCAATTAAAAAAAAAAAAAAGCGAAAGCTCCAGCCTGAAACGGGCGGAGCACACTGCTCCCCTGAGGGCCGACCCGGCTGCTCCAGCTCCAGCGCGAACGCCCTCCCAGGCTTGCTCCGCCGGGACCCCGGGCGCACCACGCACGCACCCGCCTCCCTGGGCCGGCCGCTCCTCCCTCTTTCCTTGCTGGTTGGCCCGGGCGCCGCAAGCGCGGCGGCGGCAGGAGGAGCCGGGCGCGCCCGCCACGCACAGCACGGGCGGCAGGCGCGGCGCACGAGCTCAGGTGGCGGCTGCGGCGGTGCTGACAGCAGCGGCTGCAGCAGCTAGCGCACACCCTCTCCCCGCGCGCCCGCAACTCTCCTCCACTGCGCCGCGGAGCTACCGGCCGTCCCAGGGTTTCCCCGGCCCCCGCGCTCACGGGCGAGCCCCACGCACAATAGCGGCCGCCCCTATTGTGGTTCCGAGCCCCAGCGCCAGCTATGGGGAAGCCGGCGAGGAAAGGATGCGACTGGAAGCGCTTCCTGAGGAATAACTGGCTGCTGCTCTCCACCGTGGTCGCGGTGGTGCTAGGTGAGATGCGTGGCGGGTGGGCGACGCGCGCGCCCTCACGCGCTCCCAGCACCCAGGCCGCGTGCGGGGCGGGCGCGTGTGAGGATGGGCATGGCGCTGGCGCACGCGGTGCTCGGTTCCTCGGCGCCCCCTGGGCTTCCGACACCGCGCGGGGGCTTACCCTCGAGGGTGCTGATTTCTCCGCGAAGAACAAAGCTTCTCCGGGACCCGTTTGCGTGCTCCGCGAGCTTCGGGTTCCTGCTTTACCCAAAATGATCATAGGGGCTTGGAAGGGGGGAAAGGGAAACGTGTAGATCTCGGTTCTTACCGTTCGGAAACAAATGTGGTTTAATTGTTTAAATCCTATCTGCTCCCCTCCCTTTTTTCTTTTTTTCCCCCGGAACCATGCGTTGTCCGGACAGAGTGTGGATGATGGTTTGCGGTTGAACTGGAACATGCACCTGAACCTCAGGAATGGTCCGGTTCCCGGCGGGAGGGAGAGTGTGGATATTACAGTCGGTCACTCTTCCTAGTCAGTGCCTGGAAAAAGGTGCCTGCCCACGCGGCGAGCCGCTGCCCACACCCAGGCACGGAAAACCTGCCAGATTTGTGCTTGAATTCAGGGTGTGCAGTGATGGTCCGCAGGAAGTCTAGGGGAAGGGAGACCTATCAGATTTCTCCCTTTCCACCCTGCAAATCTACCGAGGTCACCTCCTTGAGCTCCCCTGCTAGCCACATTTCTTTTCTATTGAAAATAATATTTAAGTCATATTTGCTTGTTTTTAAACAAGGTGTATTTAAGTGATTTATTCCTGACACATCACTGGATCAGGTGCATGTCTGAGCCATTGCTCAGAGGTATTTAGACTCTGGATTTCTGCCAGGTTGTCTTTTACAACTTGGGCCTTGGGATGCTCCTCTTTGGTGTTGAAGCCAAGACTGTCTCCTTTCCTTCAAGACCTGGCCCAGGTGGGGACACCCAGCAGGTGAGGCTCCTTTGAAGTCACCTTCCATTTGGAAACTGGAGCTGGGAGGAGGGGTAGCCTGTGCCTTTCCCAACCCCAAGCACAGTTTCTCTCCAGCTGCTGCTTCTCAATCTCAGAATATTTGGTGTCACCTGCTTTCTCTCTTGGTGCCCCGCCCCCAAAAAAGTCTGTGGAAGTTAATGGGATCCTCAGGGTCGGATTTGCTCCTCTAGATAGATCCTTGTGCAAAGTCGGGTTTCTAGTAAATAAATAACATCCTGGAATTACTTTAGCAGAGGCTATCTGTGGGAGGAAAAGAGAGAAGCAGAGGAGCAAGTCTTGACTACTTAACTCTATTTCCCCCAAGAAGAGTCACGTGGCTCTAAGGAAAGGGTTATCCTGCCCCATCACATTTTAAATAACAGATTCCTCAAAAAGAGTGATGTGATTTTCCTGCAGTCAAGTAGATGAGATGGTCTTGTGAATTAATTGTGAATTCCCTTCTCCAGGATGGTTTTGGGTAGGCTGGCCTTTGCCTCCCGATTCCTTGTGGAAGCAAAATGATCCTGCCTTTTCAGCTGTGGGGATTTTCAGAGATACCCACCTGTTGACCACGTGTGGCATGCTGGTGTTGAATTTACTGATTCACTGAAGGCTGGTTTGGCAAAGATTTTGAAAATTGTTCCGTGGCCTTCAGAACCTGTCACGTATATACATCCTCCGGGTCAAGGGGGATAACATGTCTGTTTTGCAGATGTGGCCTTTGGTGTCAGATGGGCAATTTTTTCCAGTTTTAATGTGGGTAAGCCCCAGGAGCGTGATTCAGATACTTTGCTCCAGAAAGGAAAACAATATTAAACCTGTAAGTACTCAACTGAAGTCTTTCAGCACATTTGCTCCTCAAGGAGTAACATCAGGCGGTCCTGAGCATTTCAGCTCTTGGTCTGAGAAGTGTCAGACCTACACCACCCTCAGTGCACCTATCACAAGGCTCTTCCCAGGATCCTTCTCTTTTCTTCATTCTTTGGGCTTGAGTACAAAAGTCACACCTCTGTCTCTGTCACCTGTGCTGACTCATTCTGGGTGAAACCCAGAAGTGAAATTGCAACCAGCTTGTAACAGAGATGCTAAGTCCATCCATAAGCCCTTTTGACCATGATAGTAAGTTTATTTTTGTAACAGTCTTAATTGATACAGAGATGGCAAACACTCTCATGTAGCCCCCTTTCTGAACCTTTCAACGTGTGGACCTTAAGAAAGAAAAAAGTTTAATTTATTGCCCTGACAGAATATCATCTTCTGATTAAAACTGAAGTGTTTTGTCCCTGCTATATATAATTCTTCAACCCTGACACTTTAAAATATTTTGATTTTTGAAATGAAGGGCAAAACTTTTTAGCAGCCAGCTGAAAGCCTCTGATTTTTCAAGACAGTATGTGAGGAGAGATGAAATTAAAGGTCATCTTATTAGGTGTAAATGTTCATTTCTTTTGTGGACAAAGAGATACTAAAGCTAACTATTTCCTTATATTGTTGCTCATGAAATAAAGAGACTGAATAGTTAAGTGACTTTCTTTGTTAAAGTGCCTATCTTTCACTCTCTGTTAAACCCTGTAAGGTCCTGGAGATAACATCTTAGATTTTCAGGTGAGAGGCCTTTAGTAAAATCTGATTATGTATGTGTGTGTGTCAATCACTCAGTCTTGTCTGATCCTGAGACCCCATGGATTCCGCTGTCCCTGGAATTCTTTCTCCAGGCAAGTACTGGAATGGATTGCCATTCCCTTCTCCAGGATCTTCCCAACCGAGGAATTGGACTTGGGTCTCCCATATTGCAGAAAGATTCTTTACGGTCTGAGCCACTGGGGTTAGACACAATTTTCACTGGATTCATTACGATTCTTGCAGGCCTTTCCCCTGCTTCCCTCCATAGTGTAGTAGTATGAGAACGGGGACTGGACTCAAGAGTCTTAGATTTGAATTCTGATCCAGTCATGCTTTGTGATTTAGACAAAATCTCTCATTCTCTGGAATCCTCAATTTCCTCATCTGGAAAATAGGGATATAGATCATTCTCTCCTATGCTATTAGAGTTGATTAAGATAATGTGAAAATACCTAGTTGTATGACTGGCATGTAACAGGCACTCAGTAAATATCATTTTAAGGTGATTTGAATACCTTGATTCTGAGGAAATTAATATTTTCTTATGAAATAAGGTCTCTCATGGTCTTTCTCTGTCCTGCTTGGTGTCCAGCCTAGAATTCTGAGGGTGATTCAAGTATTTTGATGACATGTTCTGTCAAGGTGAACACCAGCGTCCAGAGCACTCACTATTCATTGTTTTAAAAGGATATGGAAAGGATTAATCGTTTTGTTTTGTGCCCCATAGCATGCTTCTCGTTTCATTTAACAGGCAGAAATTCTGAGGGAAGAATTTTTGTGCTTTCAGTGGGAATTCTGTTCAAGCAGAATCAGTGTGCGAGAATTCTGTGCATTGTAATTCAAGTCAGCCGGTAATGATCATAGCATGTGTAATGTTGGCAAAGCACTCACGGAACCCTCACCTCGCTCACGATATAAAGCCTGATCATTCTGCCCAGACAGGTTGTGCTTTATTTCAGTCGCTTGAAAAATCTGACTTCCAGCTTATGGATTTTCAAGAAAGGATAGAGCTATTGTTATTTATAGGACAGAGCCGACAAGCTTATTCTTTCTGAATAATTTTCTTCATCACACTAAAGGAAGCAATCGTTTATAGATTCAGATTCCATTGTCTAAAACTGAGAACAGTTTCTTCATGTTCTTAGCAATACCCTTGCCCAAGCCAGCCTCGTGTCTCCTCCGCTGGGGCTCTTGTAGTATATATCTAGCAGTGCTAATTTGAGCTATGGCATAGGCTGTCTTGCTGTGTTTCTACATGTCTCTGAAACCCCTGAGTATGGGATGGGGGCAGGGGAACGGCTTCAGCTCAGTGTTCAGAATGTATTTTGTTATCATGAAACTCATGTGCTTCAGCCGTGCTGCTGGGCCTCTAATCAGCTCAGCCTTGGAATATACCAGTACTGTAACTGGCGCTTAAATCATTTGCTCATTCAACAAATCTATATCAGGCATCTGCTGTGTGCCAGGGATTTTTCTAGAGCCAGGGCCCATAACAGGGAACAAAATAAAACCCCTGTCCTCATGGAGCGTATGCTGAAGTGGAGACAAGAAGACAGTACACCGGATAAAGAGGTGAACTACAATATAGAGTATGTTGGATGGTGAGAGTGTTCTAGAGTAACATAAAGCGGGGAGGGGAACTGGGCAATTATAGCTGGAATAGGGTGAATGGGAAGGCCCTGCTGCTACCACTGCTGTTGTTGTGTCCAACTCCTTTGGACTGTAAGCTGCCAGGCTCCTCTCTCCCTGGGATTTTCCAGGCAAGAATACTAGAGTTACCATTTCCTTCTCCAGGGGACCCTCTCAACCCAGGGATGGAACCTGCATCTCCTGCATTGGCAGGTGAATTCTTTACCACTGAGCCACCAGACCCTGCTGAGAAGGTGACAGTTGAGTTGAGACTGGAAAGAAGTGAGGGAACATGTGCACAGATATCTGGGGAGATCTCAGCATGCTTGAGAAAGAGCATGGGAGTGGAGTGGGAGGGGGGGAAGGCAATAGGATGGTGTGAGCTCTTATAAGGACTTTGATTTTTAGTGGAGTTGGGAAACTGTTAAAAGGTTTTGAGCAGAGTAGTGACATGGTCTGATTGTCTTAATCCGCTCTCCTGGCTGCTCTTAGACCATAGACGGCAGACACAAGGGAGGAAGCAGAGACACCAGCTTAAGAGGCTAGTGCAATTAGCCACTTTTCTAATCTCATTTCTGTCATGGTTAGTGAAATCTTAGGAAATGCTTAAGAAAAATCAATGAGAAAAATATTGCAACTGTAAGGTAGGTGTTATTGTTTTGCCATTATATGGATGAGGAAACAGACATGGAACAGCGCAGGACTAGCTCGGGATCACTCCGGTAACAACTGACAATTCCCAGTTTTACTATACTTTCCCTT